AAATATGACGAATTAGCACTGTTTCCCTAATAGTATTAAATATATATTCCCTTAGCGGAGTCTAATGCCCAGAGTATCACATGTTGGGTCAAAAAACATCATCGTGTCTCGACACGGACGAAAGCTCATCAAGTGCATTTCTTTGTCAAATCGCCACAGAGGAAATTAAGCGAACCCAACCATTTTTATGCTCACCCGTAAAACGCAAACATGGGGGTTTCCTGCAGCTAGAGTAGCCGACCTGCAAAAGTAGGATGCATACCGAAGAGGGGCAGAGCAAGCTAACGAAATTTATGCCGTGATGAAGTGAGAAATCATTTGGAACTACATACAAGAGTCAATAATCGTTGTTATTAGGCTTCGAAATATTAAAATGCTGTTCATTTCCATTACACCCTTATCAAAAGAATTTCTTCTGCATGGCTGAACGATCAGTGAAAACAGAACGGGTATGAACGCCGTTTTAGTGAGGATGCATTGTTTAGGTGTAGTTTCATTCTTAGCTCTGTTAATCTGCTTAGAATACTGAAAACAAGAGGCCCAAATATGCGCTTTTTCGTTCAATCAGACTTGCTAAAGCACAACGAGTTACAGTTATCCCTCACCCCAATGTAAGTACTTTACTATCTGCGGCGGTTTCATTAAGATAAAACTGTACATTTCAGCTAGTTGAAGGGCGCATCTTGCTTTAAGCCCTATGCATAGCAAAGAAGTAGCGGTGCCACTTACAGCTGTGACAAACCCATACGGACATCATGAATTATGAAAGGCTGAAAAGCCTATTACTCAATGTATTGAGGTTTACACGTTTATATTATAATTATAAAGTCTAAAATGAATTCAAATAATTGTTCTTCATTAAGAAAGGAAATCTAGTTATTCTTTATGGACGGAATATTTGATAAACAAGTTTCTGAAGCATAAACTCACAATTCTCACCACTGATGTTGTAGTGATGTGACTTTCTATGGATAATAACTAAAGTTTAAATGCACACTTTCAGTGTTTAGAGATGTGACATGGCAGCCATATTAAACTAAACCATTTCAGATAAAATTTGTAATGGAAATTCTTCCTATTTCTATGGAAAGTAATAAATCGACGGCGGATTTTGACGGAGTGGTTTTGAAGTTAAGGAGCATAAGCCAAATGCAACCGGTTACCCACATTGTCCTCATTATGGGTTCGTAAGCTATGAACTCAAGTCGACGCAATTTTGGAATTGTATGTACTCAACTGTCAGCGTCCACCATAGGCCACGTAATTATATAATCGGTTTGTCTAAAAGTCTAACCTAGCCGATGTGAGCGGTCTAAGAGTATCAAGTTTGAAAATAATGACGTCTACAGTTCATCTGACAGGCGAATTATATGGCCAGCATATCTTTTGACGTCACAGAAGGCAGTAATCACGTCTGTTAATCCATTTTCTTGTCTAATCTGCGCGCTCAGCATGTGATCCGGTTAGATCCCAGTTAGAATACGCTCAAAGTGTGATGTAATAAGATTAATCAATAGAAGCTCACTACCGTCATGTAAATCGAACAATAGCACGAGTCTTCAGCAAAACAAAACTTGATATGCTGTAAAAACACTTTAACAACCACGTAATTATAAAATAAAACATCAAAAACATCTCATCTTAAAACCAGGAGTACAAATGTGATAAAGTTTGAATAAGAAATAACTTACGTTTCTTCCCATTGATATGGTCCAAAAAGTTTATCGAGTCTTTGACCACGCAGTCACAAACGTTGCAATAGTACCTAAAACAAATACTCAACTCGGTCAGTATCGATGAAATGAAAGACTTACATACGTAAAACTTCAAATTCAAATTTTATATCGTAAATAAACGTACCCACCCGCTTCGCTGGCTGGCGTGGTCTTCGTGATGACCACCGATTTGCCAACCTTTGATTCGAGGTCGATCTGCAAAAGGATGTTATATCATTTTTTTAAATGACAGCTCGAAGGTCTATTTTTTAAAAACTATCTTACCTTATAATCACGAGGTTTCAGAAATTCCCGTTTCACTTTTTCGCGAGGCTTTTTGTCCTCCTTTTCCTTAAGTTTCGCCCGCTCTTCTTCGATGCGTTCCTGCGCAAGCCGCTCATATTCGGCGACGTCCCACTTACGTCGGAAGTCGTCCACTTTCACTGGGGTAACCATTTCAATGTCTACAACAGCATCAT